CTGTCAGAATGCTTTTCAAATGTAAATTTAATTTACCATATCTTTAGTTGAAGAACATTTATAACTGAAAATAAAGAAATGGGATAGTATTATATGTAATGATCAACAGGTGAAACTGATGATCCCTAGCAAAGATTAATGGAAAATTCTGTTTGCTGGGCAATTCTAAAAGAGGATCATAAATATTTTGTGGAGAAGTTGATACCTTCCAAAATGTTTATTGTTAATCTAAAAAACTTGTTTGTAAATAAATCTGAAATATGGTTTTTTATGCATTACAAAGTCATAAAATTCTTGATCAATTTTCAGACCATGAGAGACTTCAAAAGATTGGATCCACAAGTACAGGACATAGAGAGATAATTGAATTATCAACTGAAGATGCTGGACTAATTATACATGAAGGTAAATTTAAAAATGGAATGCTTAATACACGTTTCTCAGAAAATCTCAACAGATTTTTAAACAGATAAATCTGAAACATGTTTGCATCTGGCGGTACATTACTTTGTCTGTCTCTGTCCATTCTCAAATTTATTTCGTACCAGTTTAAATTTAATTTACCATATTTCTTGTTGAAGCACATTATAACTGAAAATAAAGAAATTGGATAGTATTAAATGTAATGATCAACAGGTGAAAATGACGATCCCTAGTAAAGAGTAACGGAAAATTCTGTTTGCTGGGAAATAGTAAAAAAGGATCATGAATATTCTGTGGAGAATGTGAAACCTTCTATAATGTTGACCGTTAATCTAAAAAACCTTTTTGTAAATAAATCTGAAATATGGTTTTCTATGCATTACAAAGTCATAAATTCTTGATCAAATTATCAGACCATGAGAGACTTCAGAAGATTGGATCAACAAGTACTGGAGAGATAATTTCATTATCAACAGAAGATGCTGAACTAAATGTACATGAAAGTAAATCAAAAAATGAAATGCCTAATTCACTTTTCCTAAAAAAAATCTTTCTTAAAAGATAAATCTGAATTTTTTATGCTTTACAAAGTCATAAATGTCATAATCAAATTTTCAGACCATGAGAGACTTCAAAAGATTGGATCCTACATGTATACTAAACTAAGTAAAGGTGACATTGGATCCCTCCTAGAAGACACGAAAACCCTGGGATCTGTGTTGAGTTTGTATAAAAAGCCATGGTTTTATTTGTATGGGAAACACAATCATCGTCGCAAACCACGACCAAAATGCCCATACTCTCCCATTCTAAAGGAAAAAGCTGTATGCGGACTCCAGACCGTGTTTTGAGACGAAGGGGAAATCAATCTGAAACATGGGAAAGGAGTTTATGTGGGTTTATTTTGTTTATTGGGGGGGGGGGGGTGTTAATGATTTGTTTTGTTTGTTTTTTTCTTTATGCATGATAAGATATTTCTGGGGTGTATATTTTTTCGACTGGAAGAAAAATTCTGGATCCTCGCCTGTTCATTTGTTGGCGTTTATTGATTGATTGTATATTGTTTAACGTCCCTCTTGAGAATTTTTCACTCATATGGAGACGTCACCGTATGCCGGTGAAGGGCTTCAAAGAACCAAGTACGTTAGTTATAGTCCCTAGGCCCTGTAAAATACACAAGAGGCCCATGGGCCTTATAGGTCACCTGAGCATTATGCAACAACTTTCCAGTGATTTAATTTGATTAATGTATTAAGCAAGATGCTATGGCATTCACAATTTTAAAAGAGGCACCATTTGATCATCATAACAATACACTTAGCAGTTGCTTAGTTTGTTTACTTATTACCCATAGGCAGGGTGGGGGAACAAAAAATGCATTTCAAGTAATCAGTAATATTCAGCAATAATCAGTAATGCCCCTATCTCACATGAACCCCTGACCCTTAGGCCTAGATCCACACATTGCACAATTTTTGAAAAGGCACCCCTTGCTTTTCAAAAATATTTGATTAATACCAAGGAGCAGATCTCAAACAATTCATCCAGTTTCAGTATATAAGTACACCCCCCCCCCTATGGTACCCCTGACCCTGGGGCCTTGAAATTCACAATTCTGGAAGATTAGGGTCCTTGCTCATCATAACTACATAGGTAGTTCATCTGCTTAATACCCAAGAGCAGAGAAGAAAATTTTCAAAGATTTAATGTATTTTCACTATATAATCAATAGAGCCCCACCCTATCACTAGAACCCCTGACCCTAGGGCCATAAAATCAAAATTTTGGAAGAGGTATTCTTGCTCATCATAACTATGTACTTAGTTTATTTTTTTCCTAGGAACAGAAAAGAAATTTGTTCAAAGAATTCATGTATTTCCATTATATAATCAATAGAGCCCCACCCTAACACTAGAACCCCTGACCCTGGGGCCATAAATTTCACATTTTTGGTAGAGGCACTCTTGCACATCATAACTATGTACTTAGTAAGTTTATTTAACACTCAGGAGCAGAAAAGAAGATTTTCAAAGAATTCATGAATTTTCACTATATAATCTATAGAGCCCCGCCCTTACACTAGAACCCCTGACCCTGGGGCCATAAAATACACAATTTTGGTAGAGGCACTCTTGCTTATCATAACCATGCACTTAGTTAGTTTATTTAATACTCAGGAGCAGAGAAGAAGATTTTCAAAGAAATAATGCATTTTCACTATATACTTATTTAGCCCCACCCTAGCACTAGAACCCCTGACCCCGGGGCCATAAATTTCACAATTTTGGTAGAGGCACTGTTGCTCATCATAACTATGCACTTAGTTAGTTTATTTAATACTCAGGAGCAGAGAAGAAGATTTTTAAAGAATTCATGAATTTTCACTATATAATCTATAGAGCCCCGCCCTAACACAAGAACCCCTGACCCTGGGGCCATAAAATTCACAATTTTGGAAGAGGCACTCTTGCTCATCATAACTATGTGCTTAGTTAGTTTGTTTAATACCCAGGAGCAGAGAAGAAGATTTTCAAAGAAATAATGCATTTTCACTATATACTTATTTAGCCCCACCCAAGCACTAGAACCCCTGACCCCGGGGCCATAAATTTCACAATTTTGGTAGAGGCACTCTTGCTCATCATAACTATGCACTTAGTTAGTTTATTTAACACTCAGGAGCAGAAAAGAAGATTTTCAAAGAATTCATGAATTTTCACTATATAATCTATTTGAGCCCCACCCTAACACTAGAACCCCTGACCCTGGGGCCATAAAATTCACAATTTTGGTAGAGGCACTCTTGCTCATCATAACTATGCACTTAGTTAGTTTATTTAATACCCAGGAGCAGAGAAGAAGATTTTCAAAGAAATAATGCATTTTCACTATATACTTATTTAGCCCCACCCTAGCACTAGAACACCTGACCCTGGGGCCATAAATTTCACAATTTTGGTAGAGGACTCAATGCTGGTTACAATCATGCAAACAGTTTAACTGCTTGATGTCCAGGAGTAAAGAAGAAGATTTTTAAAGATTGCATTAATTTTAGTGGTTTTTGCCCCACCACCCAGGCCCCAGGGGGGCAGGGACCATGAAGTTCACAATTTTTGTTCCCTTTCACCCATAGATGCTTTGTGCCAAATTTGGTTGAAATTGGTTCAGTGGTTGCAGAGAAGAAGCTGAAAATGTTCAAATGTTAACGGACGACGCACGACGCACAACGCACGACGACGGACGAAAACAGATAGCAATAGGTCACCTGAGTTTACTCAGGTGACCTAATAAAAAATAAAGCTTGCCTCTTCAAAGTATTAATGTATATTTATAAAGTGTAAGACCCGAAGTCTTTGTATATGTAAACATTTCGGCAGATCCAAGCCTCTTATGCTGCTATGTAATATCCGAACCTTTGACGTATGCCGGAAAACTAGCGTTTTTCTCCACTTTTCACATGGTTTTTGGGAAAATTCGATGAGGCCACAAGCATCGGCCACGAAAATATTTTAGCTAGAAATTCATGAACATGAAAGAAGTTGATTTAAACAGGTTTCATTCTGGCCGTGGGCTGTGGCCACAGTGAATTTTTGAAATTTCTAATGTTCAGTCGTCTGTTTTACCATGTTTCTGTGACGTATTTTTCATCACCGGTGACGCACAGTCCCCAGTCTGCACATGCTGCAGTACCTGCAGTGTAAATCTACATTCGATCGGCGCTGTGTAGAAGAGAGTATTTAGAGAAAAATGTAGCATCTAAGGGTACGTAAACTTTGTAGAGAAGTTAAATGATACATATATAATAATATCTTCTACATTCTTAAACTTATGATAAACCCTGTACATTACGAGCATGATCCATTGGTTTGTTTTCACTGAAGGCGGCTGTCGTTTGCATACAAAACATGGACAAAGATCGCTTATAAACACCAAATCTGAGAAAGTGTATAAAGAAAAGGAAATGATTGAAATGTACAAATCAATTTAGATTATATTATGTCTTTTTAGAGGTTAAATTTAGCTCCTTCACCAATCGTTTAAAAATAGAGCGTTTCATTATTTACATTGACAACGTACAGTTACTTGCAAAAGTATATTACGCGTTGTTCATTGTTCGTTTAAATAATCTATAGGCATTTTTTTTTTAAAAGACCTACAATTCAATGGATTTTTACACTTATATTTTACATATCATGTTGAAGATTATTTGCTACTTTTCTTTGCCAAAAAATAGTTTTAGATGCTTTAGGAGTTAGAATTACTTGTTTTAAAATAAATAACATTGAACATTGCAATTAGTTTTCAAAGTATTCCTTTTATGATTGATTCATTTTTTATGATGAGGATGGATATTTTGATTGAAAAGTAGCCAACGTTTTTTTTTTTTCTCTTGCTTTCTATCTTTCAAAGTAAAGAAGAAATGCGTGTAATAACTATACATATATAACATAAAGTTCCTCATAGATGATTTTATAATTAGAACATATTTTCTATAATATTTAAGTGAAATATTTTGTTCTACATGTACCTGTCTTGAGATTGCAGGTAGAAAAAAATAATGAATTTTAAAAACAGAGATGGCTGTGTTTTGGTTTGTATTTGAGTCCCCTTTTGACACCCAACCCCCTGAGATCTGTACGTGCCGGGCCTTTTTTCCTTTAGCAGGGGTACAGAGTTACATGATTTTTTTTTTTAATTAATGAACTTTTTGTTCTATGAAGAAAAAAATTAATACTAGTGATCTGTTCCTTAGAGTACTTCCCTCGGATCAAATGCATGGTTGATGACTTGAAAATTATTTAAAGTAAACATGGTCAATAATTATGCACATGTAATTTATTTTAGGAAAAAATGCCAGGTTGTGGACCAAAATTTTATCCTTGCATACTTTGCCAAAAAAAAGGACAAAGCCTAGTGAAAGACGGCCTGTGAATAAAAGCACAAGAAAGATTCTAAGAAAATACTTTATGACTGAGTGCAAAGATGGTGTATTATGCAGAAAATGTAGAAACAAATGCGATACATTAAAAGGTAGGACTGTGCAATATTACAGGTACATGTATATCAGTATATTGCGGTATTATTACCCAACAAAATAATTCATGTATATCACGATATGAAAGCCAGATACCGGTATCTCAGGATATTTATAAAAATATATATATTTTTAAAAAAACATCCTTCATTGTAGAAACTGCTGGAATAATACTTGTAACTTCCCCAGGCCTTTCAAATCTTAAGTTAAATGAATACCTCGTCAGCTTTCGAAGAGAGATAGAGAGAAAAGAGAGAGAGAAAGCTTATCATTTACTGTAGCAATTTTAAAGATCTTATTTAAAAAATAATGATTAATAAAGACCTTTTAATAAAATCATTAATAAAAAAATATATTAAACATTTCTACAGGGTGTATACCATGTTTACCCTGGTTCTCAAAATCTCGCATGGAATCTACACGGTCCATGTCAGGATGACAATGTTTAGCAGTTAAGTTCAAGATACACATTACAAGTAAATTGCCATCCATGTTTTCACTTGATAAAGTGATTGTTTTATTTATATTTTAAGTAAGTTTCATGCCATTATGATTTTAAACAACTTCATGATATATCAGGAGCATGTGTATTAACAGTAGAAATATGCCAGTGCTGATTGTATGTCATTATGTGAAATTAGGTTGGGTTAGACTACAACACCAAACGCCCGAAAATAGGTCACAATTTCTTTCTGGCTTTAATTTTATTCTGTGACCACATGAAATTTTCATATAGTATGTATCGTTTTAATCATTAAATTATTGCTATTTTGATTACACCCCCCCCCCCAAAAAAACAAAAACAAAACAAAACATAAAAATGTAACAAGATTATATAATTTGTATTAAATTTTTTCAGTTTCAAAATGCTTCAAGAAAGTTCATTTTGATTTATTATTTTATCTGGTATTTTGATTAAATGTAAAGTGTTATTATGTGTGCAATTAATATTTCCCCCCCACCCCCCACCCCCTTTAAAACTAATAGATATATTCAAATAGCCTTTGAGCTTGACAGCATTTAAAAATTTCTGCACAATTTTATTGATGATAATATAATACTATATGCCAAATTTGGTTGAAATTGATTCAGTGGTTTCAGAGAAGAAGCTGAAAATGTTCTAATGTTAACGCACGACAACGGACGAAAAGTGATAGCAATAGGTCACCTGAGTTTAATCAGGTGACCTAAAAATCAATTCTTTTAAATTCTTTCAATATATCTTCATTTTTAGCTCTACTGGTCAGAGACCAGAAGAGCTTATGCGATAGCAAGGTGTCCGTCGTCCGTCTGTCTCTCTGTCTGTCCGTCTGTAAACAATTTTTCAAAACGCTACTCCTCCTACAGTTTTGGTCTGATTTTAATATTACTTGGCACAAAAGTAGACTACACTAAGATACATAATTCTGTGTATCGGTTTTTGATTTCGATGAACGATGTTGCCGTGGTTACTAAAAATAGAAATTTTTGTGAAATTCTTTCAAAATGCTACTCCTCCTACAGTTTTAGTCTGATTTCAATATAACTTGGCACACAAGTAGACTACAGTAAGATACATAATTCAGTGTATTGGTTTTTGATTTCGATGAACGGTGTTGTCGTGGTTATTAAAAATAGAAATTTCTATGAAATTCTTTCATAATGCTACTCCTCCTACAGTTTTGGTCTGATTTCAATATAACTTGGCAAACAAGTAGACTACACTAAGGTACATAATTCTGTGTATCAGTTTTTCACATCAATGAATGGTGTTGCCATGGTTACTAAAAATAGAAATTTCTGTTAAATACTCTCAAAATGCTACTCCAAATACAGTTTTAGTCTGATTATAATATAATGTGGCATGCAAGTAGACTACACTAAGAACATAAAGAGACTTAATCAAGGATCATTATTATATTTATTGCTGTTGAAAAGTTTCAATTTCCAACTGCTTCAGTACTTTTCTCTTCCTTTGCTATAAGTACAAACCAGTAGAGCTTCAGTCTCGACAGAGACTTTTGGTTGTTTTTAAAATAGAATTTGATATCATCAACATCCCCAGTGGACCAGCCCATGCATTAAAAAAATTAATTTGATTTTAAAATATACAAACATATATAACAAGCATTTGTAAATCAGTAGAGAAAATGCTCTATAAGCTGAACTGAAATTTAATTTTTATATGTACAATGTAGGATTTTAGAGAAGCAGAGGACAGGCAGAAGGAGCGAGAGGGTAAGCAGTTGAGCTTTTCCTTGTTCAGCCACTCGTCTTACGCGAAGAGTGAGGAGGAAGAAGGCCAGGATCCAGAGAGAGAAGAGCCGGAGCAGGACGACGTTGACATTGGGGTCAAGCACACAAGAGATATGGGTATGATAGCTGCCCATGAGAATTGAGATTTAATCAAAATGCATTTTTATGCATCTCTGTCCAAAACAATGATATAACACAATGTCATCCATAACTTATCATTTCTACATAATACATTTGTGCTCTATTCAATGAAGAAAATGATCATTTCTTAGAATTGATAAATAAACTTTATATGAGCCAAGACACTACTTGTATGTAGAAGACAAAGTAATATTAAATTCATGTGTATTTCTTATTGATACTGATAAGGATTCAATGTATATACGACCTGCCTCTATATTTTCTCTTGATACATGTACCATTCAATGTAGGTGTACAGTGTGATCCAGACCCACTGTTACAAGAGAACATGGCCTTGAAAGCTGAGCTGAGGAGGTTACAGGGTCACAAGTTGTCGGTTGACAAGATAAAGGATGATAACACCAAGACGAAATTCTACACTGGAATGCCTAGCTTTGCAGTTTTCATGTGGCTATTCAAGTAATTGATTAATCTAAAAAAAATTAAGCAAAAATTATCAAATTTAAATAATATAAATTAATTTGTTTACACTTTAACAATGTGTTTGTATAAATTTGTAGTTAATTTAACACTTAGTCTAGCTGCATTTTTCAAAGAATATTTGAGTTATTTAGAAAATGTTTTATTATTATATTTGTGTTTTAGACTTGAAAAAGCACACTTGTATTCATTGGAAATATAATGTTACTAAACTCTAAAATGACATAATTAAAAAATAAACTGTACATACAAATAAAATAACATATAAAATCTATATATGCAGCTACCTAGTGCCCAAGTGCAAAGAGATGGTTTACTGGAGAGGTTCTGCTGTTACCCCTGGAGAGAGGACACGACCTAGACGTGTGATGTCATTGGAGCCAATAGACCAGTTTCTTGCCACGATGATGCGACTTAAAATTGGATTATATGTTGAAGATATTGCTGAACGCTTTGTAATGTGTTTGAGCTAAAAGCCTTGTCAGGATTTTTTTTTCAAAATTTAAAAAAGTGTTATACATTACATGTAAACTAATAAGAATAATATGAAAATATATTATTCAAATAAAAAAAGGCATGAAATTTACATTAAAAGATCTGCCAGCTCTTCAGAAATATTGTACCATATAATGGTGGAATTTTTAGTGAAACACATGTAGCAATTTTCCCTTAGAAATCAGTATTTAATTTCAGCACAATATATTTCAATCAATTTAATAGTGAACAGAAAAAGAATGGTAACTTCTAATGGGGAATAATTTGTTAGTGATATTCAATATTTGCTATCTCAACACTCTTGCTAAAAATACAAAAATTGTATCCTTGTAATTATTTTGGGCATACAATTTTTATTTATACATGTGTATTTATTTTTTAGGAGTGTCGGTTGGGACCTACTCGCAGTATTTCACTACCTGGGTGTGCCTGCTGTTCCAGGAACTGAGACCGTTGAACCCTTTTCCATCTCGGGACATCATTCAAAGGAACATGCCGTCTTGTTTTCATTCTTTTCCAAATTTAAGAGTTATTTTAGATTGTACAGAAATATTTGTTCAGAAATCTAGCAGTCTTGTTAATCAGAATTTGTCTTTTTCACATTATAAGCATCACACAACTGTTAAATTTCTAATTGGCATTACTCCATCTGGTGTTATTTCTCTTGTTTCAGAAGGATTTGGTGGTAGAGTCTCTGATCGACAGATGATCGAGAAGTCCCTACTCCTGGGCATGCTTGATTGATTGATTGATTTCATATTGTTTAACGCCAAGTCGGCAATATTTCAGCCATATTTTGGCGGGCAAGTATTAACCGGTTTTTGAAAGCTTTTGGTTTCTCTGGCGGCCCCCAATGAGCCTTCTCTTTATCGAACTCCAGAGAAACGGTCTTTTGCGTGCCAAGGGGGTTGTTATCCTCGACACGGGGCACCATTTAACGTCCCATCCGACGGACTTGAAATTTAAAAATATGTAAACTGTTAAAAATAAAATCATCTAAATACATCCTATAAAATTAATCTAGTCATTTCTATATTTTATTGTAAAAATCAGTTTCATGTAAATATTCCACAATTGCATGAACATTGACATTTTTAAAAAGGTCATACATCGTTTTTGCGTTACCAAAAAGTTTACTTCGAATTGGCGAAAAGTCAGAACATTCTGATAAAATATGATTAACAGTTATCGGACAGTCACAGGATATACACTCCGGCTGAGACTCCCGATTCAGCAAGTAGTCATGTGTAATTTTAGAGTGACCGATACGTAATTCTTGATATAATTACTTCGTCTTGACGTTTCAGACCGAAGTCACATGATTTGTTAACTTTGTTTTCAATAGCATAAAGCTTACTTTCATCACAAAAATTCCAATAAATTTGCCAAATAGAATCGACATAAATTTTAACTAGGTAAGTCAAATCTGTGTAGGGAATTTTGAATAAAGTAATTTCATGTTGAAGTGCTGTTTTTGCTGCATTGTCAGCCTTAGTATTTCCAGAGATGCCGATGTGGCTCGGAATCCAACAAAAATTAACTGTTTTACCCTGTTGAGCGAAATAATTATACTGTATCAATATATCTAAAATATAAGGGTGATCAAAATTCCTGTTTCTAATGGATTGTAAGCAGGAAAGAGAGTCCGAAAATATAGTAAATATGTTTCACTGGAAGATTTTATATATTCAAATGCAAGTTGTATGGCTTTCGCTTCCGCAGTAAATATTGTTGCTTCATTTGGAAGACGTGTTGAAAAAATATTATTATCAATTACTGCAGCTGACGCAACTGTATCCCTGTCTTTCGAACCATCTGTATAGATCTCGACTGTAGGGCCATTAGAATGTTTTATTTCGGCTAATTTCTGTTTAAAAATAAGAGAATTTGTTTCTGATTTCTTAAATTCAGTTAAAGATATATCAACACTTGGTTTTATTAATTTCCAGGGCGGTATTTCAGAAAAATTTGAGGGTTTTATAATATCCAAAGGAAGGTCAGAGTCTCTAATATGCTTTTTACATCGTAGGCCAAGTGGTTTTATACACGTTTTTCTTTTAGGATACAAGTCCTCATTCTGCGGATAAAAAACACAGTTATAAGCAAGATTATTAACATTTGCTTTTAATTTCAGAATATATTGTAGGGAAAGTTTAATTCTACGTAAGTCGAGGGGTGGTTCATTTGCCTCGACATATAAACTGTCTTTAAGAGAAGTTCGAAAAGCTCCCAAGCACAGTCTAAGGCCTTGGTGGTGAATTGCATCAAGAGCTTTAACGTAAGAAGTTCTTGCCGAGCCATACACAATACAACCATAATCTAACTTGGATCTTACTAAAGAACGATATAGTTTTAAAAGAGTATTTTTATCTGCCCCCCATTTTGTTTTTGCAATTACTTTAATAATATCTAAAGCCTTCGTGCATTTTTCTTTAAGCATTTTTATATGTGATACAAAAGAAAGTTTACTATCAAAAATTATACCTAAAAACTTTATTTCTTTTACAACCTTAATTGGATTTCCATCGAGCAGCAGACGTGGTTCGTCATGCGCTTTCCGTTTGGAACAAAAATGAACACATGCGGTTTTGTTTTTTGGAAATTTAAATCCATTTACATCAGCCCAATTTTGAATTTTATTTAGACAACTCTGCAATTTTCGTTCAATATAGTTCATATTTTTGGATTTAAAACAAAGTACAAAATCATCAACATATAAACTTCCATGCATATCATTTTCAAGAACTTCTGTTAAGTTGTTGATTTTTATACTGAATAGAGTTACTTTCAAGAAATTCTTGATAAAATTAGGTAAATGTCCTTTAAGACCCATAGTATAGAGGTCATCTAAAATGCCATGTCTCCATGTAGTATCATATGCTTTTTCTAAATCAAAAAAGACAGATATAACATGCTCTTTTTTAATAAAAGCATCTCGAATATAGGTTTCCAGTCTCACCAACTGCTCAATAGTACTGCGGTTTTTCCTAACACCACACTGAATATTAGTTAAAATGTTATTAGTTTCAAGAAACCATATAAGACGTTCATTTATCATCCTTTCCATGGTTTTACACAAACAACTTGTTAACGCAATAGGACGGTAATTATTTGGATCTGTGTGATCCTTACCAGGCTTTGGGATGGGAATTACTGTAGCTTGGGTCCAGGAAGGTGGAAAATGACCCTGCTCCCAAATCGTATTGAACATATGGAGAAATGGCGTTCATTCTGCCCATTTACATATTCGCCATATTGGAGCTATAATGGCGGCGGATTCTATAAAGGATTACATAGAGAACTTACAAAAAATTGCTAATTTTTATATTCTAACTATTTCGGATAAAGTTCTTCCGCCGATCTTTTGTTTTTCCTTTATATCCTCTACCGGAAATAACAATGATGTTGATGCCAAAGTGAAAGTTGTGACCGCCTTTTTGATTTGAAAATTCGAAGCGAGAGTACACTGTTTTAATGAAGAAAAGAGAACTGAATTTGTGTTTTTATCATTTTTGGTGATAAAATGTAAGTGTTTATTGCATGATGACATAGTTCTTCCGCCGATTTATAGGTGCAAACAAAGGTCTATTTTCGGAAAATATTGCTGTTATAAAATTGTATGAAGAGTTACGACCGCTTTTTAAATTTTAAAACAGCAATTTTTGCATTTGCCTGACCTACTAATTATTGAAACATACGGTATCATTAATTGCCAACTGACGATAACGCTAAATTCTACCCATTTAGATGCGTCGAGTGCTCAAAGAAATTCAAACAAAAAAGTCCTGCATGTTTTTGTATTAAAAAATTAAAGAAATGATATAATTTGAGTTTTTCCAGGATCTTATGAATATTAATGAGAATTAAATCACGTGGGATCAACCTCATGAATAAACTGCACGTCATTTCTCCATATGAAATTTGCAGAAGACATTCTTTACTTTTTAAAGGAAGGTGTTTAATTATTTGATAATGGATTTCATCCGGTCCTACTGCTGTGTCGTGGGATTTATCTAAAGATTTCTGAAGTTCATTTAAAGTAAATGGGTGATTGTAACATTCATTGTTTTGAGATGTAAAATCTAATATTTTCTTTTCTTGTGATTTTTTATGTTTACTAAACTTTGGGGTGATATTTTTGTTGGAGGAATTTTTAGAAATTGTATTACCTATTTCATTTGATATCTCATTTTTATTCGTAATAATTTTATTTCGAACATTAAGATGTTGATATTTTTCAGGACCTTTACCTTTTATTTTTCTAATTGCATTCCAGACCTTATTAATAGGAGTATGAGAATTAAGGCTGGAAATGAATCTTTTCCAAGATTTTCGCTTATTAAAGTTAATAGTTCTGCGAGCTTTTGCTCTAAATATACGAAAATTGCTCAAATTTGCTGATGTTGGTATTCGATTGAATTGTCTCTCTGCTTTTTTGCGAGCTTTAATAGCATCATTGCATTCTTCCGTAAACCATGGTTTTTTACTTTTAGAGGTCTTTGTCGAGGTTTTAGGTATACTTTTATTTGCATAAGTTAATAGGATTTCAATAAATTTTTTGATAGGATCAGGATTGTTCTCGAATTTTTCGGACGAAATATTTTGTAAGCATAAGTTTTCAAAATGTATCCAATCAGCCTTGTTTAGCTTCCAGTTTGGAATAGAAATATTTTCAAAGGATACATCTAGTTTAATGATAATTAGGAATTGATCACTTCCACATAAATCGTCATGTACTGACCAACTAAAATCCAAGAGTAAAGAAGGGTCTACTAAAGTAATATCTATTGAAGAATATGAACCATTACCCGGATGCAGATAGGTGCTAGAGCCGTTATTTAGTATACAAAGATTATGGTGTGATATTGCATCCTCAATTATCTTTCCTTTTTCTGTTATTTTATCGCTGCCCCATAATGGATTATGAGCATTAAAGTCACCCACAATCATAAATGGAGCTGGAAGTTGTTGTATTAACTTTGTAAGTTCTAAAGCTTGTAAATGATAGTTTGGAGGAACATATACAGAACAAAGAGTTATTGTTTTTTCAAGTGAAAGGCGTACAGCTACTGCCTGAAGATTTGTTTTTAAATCTAGTTGGCTATGAATATATTTATTGTTAATTGCTAAAGAAGAACCACCAGACGCTCTTTCAGTTTGAGCATAGTAGTTATACATACTGTAATTTTTAATATTAATTTTATCTGTTTCTTTTAAATGTGTTTCTTGTAAACATATAGCTACTGGGTTATGGTCCTGAATAAGTAATGATAATTCATTAAAGTTGACTTTAAAACCTCGACAATTCCATTGTATAATACTAGGATGACTCATTTTTTATGAGTAATGGGGGATATCCTCCCTTTACTTTTGGGGGGTGACACACTTCGGACTCGCGAGGAGGATTGGCATGGTGTTACATCCATCTCCTCGAAGATCCCAAATTTATTGTGGAGAGTGACAGCCGCTTTAGGTAACCGATCACTCTCCTGTTTTGAATTGTTTTTAGAGGGAGATCTGTTTTTAGGTCACCTGAGTAAACTCAGGTGACCTATTGCTATCACTTTTCGTCCGTCGTCGTTCGTCGTGCGTCGTGCGTTAACATTTGAACATTTTCAGCTTCTTCTCTGAAACCACTGAACCAATTTCAACCAAATTTAACATAAAGCATCTATGGGTGAAGGGGAACAAAAATTGTGAATTTCATGGGCCCTGCCCCCCTGGGGCCTGGGGGGTGGGGCAAAAACCACTAAAATTAGTGCAATCTTTAAAAATCTTCCTTCTTTACTCCTGGACATCAAGCAGTCAAACTGTTTGCATGACTGTAATCAGCATTAAGTCCTCTACCAAAATTGTGAAATTCATGGCCCCGGGGTCAGGGGTTCTGGTGTTAGGGTGGGGCTAAATAAGTATATAGTGAAATTTCATGAATTCTTTGAAAATCTTCTTCTCTGCTCCTGGGTATTAAATAAACTAACTAAGTGTATAATTATGATGAGCAAGAGTGCCTCTACCAAAATTGTGAATTTTATGGCCCCAGGGTCAGGGGTTCTGGTGTTAGGGTGGGGCTCTATAGATTATATAGTGAAATTTCATGAATTCTTTGAAAATCTTCTTCTCTGCTCCTGGGTATTAAATAAACTAACTAAGTGCATAGTTATGATGAGCAAGAGTGCCTCTACCAAAATTGTGAATTTTATGGCCCCTGGGTCAGGGGTTCTGGTGTAAGGGGGGGGGACTTTAGATTATATAGTGAAAATACATGAATTCTTTGAAAATCTTCTTCTCTGCTTCTGGGTATTAAATAAACTAAATAAGTGCATAGTTATGATGAGCAAGAGTGTCTCTACCAAAATTGTGAATTCTATGGCCCCAGGGTCAGGGGTTCTGGTGAAAGGGGGGGGGGCTCTATAGATTATATAGTGAAAATACATGAATTCTCTGAAAATCTTCTTCTCTGCTCCTGGGTATTAAATAAACTAAATAAGTGCATAGTTATGATGAGCAAGAGTGCCTCTACCAAAATTGTTAATTTTATGGCCCCAGGATCAGGGGTTCTGGTGTAAGGGGGAGGGGAGGCTCTGTAGATTATGTAGTGAAAATACTTGAATTCTTTGAAAATCTTCTTCTCTGCTCCTGGGTATTGAATTAACTAACTAAGTGCTTTGTTATGATGAGCAAGACTGCTTCTACCAAAATTGTGAATTCGATGGCCCCAGGGTCAGGGGTTCTGGTGTAGGGGGGGGGGGCTCTTTAGATTATATAGTGAAAATACATGAATTCTCTGAAAATCTTCTTCTCTGCTTCTGGGTATTAAATAAACTAAATAAGTGCATAGTTATGATGAGCAAGAGTTCCTCTTCCAAAATTGTGAATTTTATGGCCCCATGGTCAGGGATTCTAGTGATAGGGTGGGGCTTTATCGATTATACAATGAAAATACACTAAATCTTTAAAAGTTTTCTTCTCTGCTCCTTGGTATTAAGCAGATGAACTACCTATATAGTTATGATGAGTAAGGGTCCTAATCTTCCAGAATTGTGAATTTCAGGGTCAGGGGTACCATAAAGGAGGGGGGGGGGGGCTGTACTTATATACTGAAACTGGATGAATTGTTTGAAATCTGCTCCTTGGTATTTATCAAATATTTTTGAAAAGCAAGGGTGCTTTTTCAAAAATTGTGCAATGTGTGGATCTAGGCCTAAGAGTCAGGGGTTCATGTGTGATTGGGGCATTACTGATCATGCTGAATAATACTGATTACTTGAAATGCATTTTTTGTTCCCCTACCCTGCCTATGGGTATTAAGTAAACAAACTAAGCAACTGCTAAGTGTATTGTTATGATGATCAATGGTGCCTATTTCAAAATTGTGAATGCCATAGCATCTGGATTAAAACATTAATCAAATTCAATCACTGGAAAGTTGTTGCATAATGCTCAGGTGACCTATAAGGCCCATGGGCCTCTTGTTTCTCCCAGATGATGTTAGTTTGCTCCAGGCTGCTGGCTTTGATGTAGACACAGCTACGGTTTTTGGAGCAGCAGGAGCTGTAGGACCTGCAGAAGCAGGCATTGAAGTGTTTTTACCCTTGTCTTGAGATGACAGGGGCGTTTGACATGATGAAGTCTGCTGAGGAAAGTCTTTCTCAGAGACTTGTGTAGACATGTCCTTCAAAGAGGACGATTTAACAACAGTTGCAAAAGTTAAATTTGGCTTTGGACTACTGTATATGTTTACCAATTTTTTGGCCTCTGGATAAGGTATCCTTTTTCAGCTTTGACCTTTTGTATTTCTTTCTCTTTTTTCCACATAGGGCAGTGTTTGGAGGAAGCCATATGCCCGCCCTTGCAGTTTTTGCATTTGGGGTCGTTATGGCAACCTTTACCATCATGCCCCTCCTCACCACACCTGAAGCATGTTTCAGAACTTTTATAATTGGATTGTCCGTGTCCAAACCTCTGACATTTAAAACAACGCAGAGGATTTGGAACGAACATTTCGACTTTCATATTATAAAGCCCAACTTTAATACTTGTCGGTAATATTGGTATGCCAAAGGTCAGAAGGTAGGTATTTGTTGGTTCTATGTTGTCATTACGCTTTTTGGTAAACCTTTTCACAGAGACCACTCCCTGGGATTCCAACTCAGATTGGATTTCCTGTTCAGGAATATCATCCAGGTCGTGATCCCTGTCGAAAAGGATACCTTTGCTCTGATTCAATCCACTGTGGATTTTACCAACAACAGGAATATTGGCAAGCATTTTCAAATCTAACAAAGAAGTTGATTGTTGTTTTTTGTTTACTTCAAGAAGAAGAGCACCGGATCTCAACTTTTTAATAGATTTAGGAGTACCAATGATTCCTTGAATACCTTTTTGAATGACAAATGGCGATACCTTTGTTAAAGGCTTCGTATGTTGGTCTGATAGTTGTGCTTCAAGTGTGATGAAGCGGGGCCAGTGTTCCACGATAGAATTCAGTTGTTCATCGTTTATAGTAATATCGAAACCTGCTGGATAGCAACGTTTTTTTGAGAGAGCCATGATTGTATTAGAAAGAATTCAAAATCCTTGCTCCCCGCCCACCTCGGAGCGCCAACAAGGGCGATATTCAGTCAAACGGTCATCCCGTAAGACTGATACCAAGAGGATACAAAGAAACTATACTCAGACATGATATGCCTGATTGACCCTTAGCCACCGCTTAATATATAAATATCAACATGGAAACGTCGGCGTACTGGAAATTGCAAAACAGGAAAACGGATAGTGAAAAAAGCAACACATCAATACTATGGCATGTAGATATAATCAGCTCGGCATGACTAGCCGATTGATCAAGTCGGGCCAAACTTGACCTCCCGTCTAAATGAATATGGGGCCAAAGTGGAGTGTTGGTCGGACAGGTGCATTACACCCAGCACCTGCAGACCTCAGCCACCAGGATCCCCTTCTCCACCAACACGGGTCGCAACCCACGGCCAACAGAATGCCCCATTTAGTCGCCTCATACGACATGCAAGGGGGTGCCAGGGACCTATTCTTATCACCCCGGGCCCCTACGGGGGCTGGGCATGCTTGAAGAAGGGGATGGGGTTATGGCAGATAAGGGGTTAACTATTGCCGATATGCTAGAGAAAAAGGGCTGTACTTTAAATATTCCTCCTTTTCTTTCATCTTCCTCTCAGTTTTCTCCTCAAGATGTACTTAAAACTCAAGAAATAGCAAAGCTTACAATACATGTTGAAAGAGCTATAGGCCGTGTAAAGAATTTTCATATATTTGATGGTGTACTTTCTCTTTCTTTAGCCCCATTAGTTTCCCAGATGTTTTCCGTCTGCTGCTGGATCACCAATCTTGATGTGCCTTTGGTTGACAGTTAAAAGTGAGTACTACTTTACACAATCAAAACGTAAAGAAAGTACCTTATTTGATGACATTAAAAAGCAAATCAGAAGTAAAGTTGTTCCCAGAATTAACACAAATGTTCAGTGAAGAATTTATTGTATTGTTGCAGCGTGGTTTGGCTCACAGATTTTTTATTTTTCCTTAGCTTAAAATATTCTTACAATTTTTCCTTAGCTTAATATATTCTTACCACTGAGTTTGAAATATGTCAAAGTTTTACTGAATTTAATTATGTACGTTGAAAAATTTAGCTTTCACTTCACTAAAAATTGATATCAGGTTCTAAAAATTTAATTTTTAGCATAAGAAGGTAAAATATGTTAAGGATCTTCAGTTGTGCTGACTTCCACCTCACTTTCCATGTCCGGGGCTTCATCTGGGATGTTCCATAACTGAGCCATGCCTAAGATATAAACATTCTTGAATAATTAATTTTTTGTAAATGCATTATACACTTTATTTTTTAAAGTATTTGTCATGTGTTTTGCTTTTAAATAAAGCATTTGTGATTTAATCTTTGTATGTTTTCCCCCAATGTTAAGCATTTACTAAATTAGCTATGCTAAAAGAAAACAACAAGAAAAAGGTTACCAGTTTTGGGAAACACATCCCTTAACAGCTTCAATTGATGCATGGATCTGGAAAGGTCAAAAGACCTTTGATCAGGATGGCGTGGGTCAAAGTGGATTTGTTTTCTCTCCTTGAACTCAATCTCCCCTCCCTCACCTAGTTTAGGTCTACCAAAATTCCACTCTTTTTTGGCTGAGGTTTTGGTTGCATCTTTATTGGTCTGGGTATGCTCCACTGACAGGATTTTGATGTAGAGCTGTCGGCACTCAGGACCTGACTGAGGTAGAGGTGATGGAGATACATTAGTAGTCCCCCAATGTGACTTCATGATTGTGCTAGCCTAGAAATGAATCAAAGATTTACATAATTTATACAGTAAAATATGATATATAATGTACTAGTATGTTTAGACATACATTAAATAGTTTTGTCTCTGCAGATGCAAACTTATTTCTTACCCAATAGAACATTCACAGTATGCATAACATACTTTCCCCTCTCCAGCAAACAAATGTAGACTTAAAAACAGACTTTTTTTATGGATGCCAAACAAAAAGCTCTAATGTACTCCAGGGAGTTGTCAATCTGAAAATGTTCAGTTATGACTATTTTATAAATCATATGTATACATTAATAACACATACATGTGTATGTCAGCATTACCAGATACACAGTTGAACATTTCTTACAAGAGCATTTTCATGTACAATGCAAGTTGTAAATAGTTGTTCCGGTAAATATTAGTGATATCTCGATTCATTATAAATTAGCTTAAGATTTCAATTCATGTTGAACAAAGGGTCAAATTACTAGATACTTTGCAAACAACAAAAAATTTATTTATCAATATTGTATTCTTTTGAATACCTATATTGGTTGTAACTTTGTAATTACGTTCCTTTTTTCTGTGCATGGTCATATCAAGTATAAATATATATGAAAAAAAAAAATGAAATATTTTTACCTGGGCAGTCATAATTTGTGACAAATCACCAGCTTCAAAGTGTTTTACTGCCTTGTCTAGCCCTTTATAGTTATTAACCCGCTCCCCGTCTTTTGTAAGTCTAAGGACCATGTGCAGATAAATTTCTTTAAAAAAAAGAGTGGGTGTGCCGTCTGAAGATAGTGCCGAATAGGAGGCTAGATGAAGAGGGGGGAGGTTTTCGTGACCTTGAATCTCAGGGATGACACCTTCAGATGGAGACATTTTCAGCTTTAACGGAATTTCAGTCATAGGGGTGTTGATATTTTTCCGTTTTTGACTATTTAAAATCTCCCGGTGTGCCATCTTTGTTGTCAATGTAAACACGGAAGTCCCCGTATATGCGCAAAGAGTATATAGACAAGCTAGTTCAGAGCTGATTTTTTATTATATTTTCTAAGAATCTGTTGTTTATTTGTAGTAAAAACACAACATCAAATCAAAAAAAAATATGTTTAAGCTAAAACACAGACAGTTTCATTTAAAAACAATTTATTCTCGTCGCTTGAAATCTCTTATTTGTACGAGGAAGTAGGCGTTGCTCAAAAAATGCTTTGCCCTGCGGAAGTACTTATGCGCATGTGCGGAAATTATCGTGAAACGGTCTATAGGGTCTGTAAGTCTCGTCACGTGACTCGCGAGATTCTACGATAATTTTCACTTCCGGGTACCTGAAATGAGGAACTGTGTATTTAGTTAAGCATGTTTCTGGTTTATACAAAGCTTCTGAGGAAAAGTTAAGTAGTTATGCAAAGCAGAAGGGTTCTCCGACTTACGATAGATGAATTAAATCCAAGGGTAGTACAAACAGCTACAGAAATAGCGAAAGGCGCTGACAATGTTGATAGCCAATATATATGTATAAGATTATTTAGTTGAATGATAGTAAAAATATTTATCCATAACTTTAGTACTAAAAAACTTCACAAGGCCCCTTTTGTGCGCGATATTGGTTTCTGACTGTTATTTGAAGAATTAAGGGAAACTCAAATATATGCATCAATGATATTCCTTGATTCAAGTGGGAATTATCCAACGTGTTTTTATCAAAGAGGAAACTTGACGCTGCTTTAGACACTTTGACATTATCATCCGTAACACATTAAATGAGTTTTATAATTTTCAATTGTTTATTTATAAATGCATATACCTATTTGAAGTTTGCTGTGTTTTTTGATGACAAATGTACTTACCCAGGTAAGATAGTGCGTAATCATTCAAGATCACAGTGAGAATTCATCACAATTTACTTTTTAGTACAAAAATATAATTTTATATAGTAAAATACAGGTAGATATATTGTGAAAAATCGGAATAAAATTATAAATAATTCCCAATTCATTTTACAAAAACTTAAAACATTTTATCTTATTTACTGCAAGTCGCCATCTGACGTTACGGTAGCGGGTTTACTTTGGACTCATGGACTTGTACATGTAGTTCTCGGGACAAGCCGTTAAACCGGGTCCGTAGAACATTTATCATTTTAACGATAGATCATTCTATCTAACGGACTTGAAGAAGTCTATCCTTACGTAGCGGATTCGACTCCCATTGCGTGACATGGATATTGGCCTTTAATTCAGATTAAGATCCAGTAATTGCTAGCCAGAAAAAATTAACAAAATCATTCATGCCACCGTCTTTCAGTACTCACAGTACTTTGATCTTTATATTAATATGAATATTTAAAGAATAAAGGAAGATCAGATATTTTAAATGATTTTTTTTGAAAGGAGCTAAAATATTGTCCTTGTCCAGGTTATATAATTATATGTACTTTGTCGTGAAAAAATCCTCGGGTTCGTTCTTCATTATATAAACATGTAAGCGATTAATTTAATTTCTTGAAAGTGGTTTCACGCAATATAAACAATGATCAACATAGGATTATTTTTTGTGACACCTAACAAAAATTATTTTTTTAACTTTTGAATTTTGATATCTTTTAAATTAAAAGGACTTTGGGGATATAATTTGACAAAAGTTGAAGCAATTTATGGACAATTATTAGTCAAGAAGAAAATCTAATATATATTTTTAACAATGAGAATCGTATCAAGCGACTTTAAGGAACGTCTCGTCTGTCCTTAACATGACCAAGGCGACAGCAGTTGCTGAACTTGACAGGGTTTCCGTAGAAACAAGATAGATTATCCATGTATGTACCTCTTTTGCTGTTAAGAAAAAATAGACTAGGATAATTAGCAAATAAATAAAGGATATTTTATGAAACAAAATCCGTAAACATGTATACAGACATACACAATCTCAAAATATTGAAGTCTATTACAATATAATAACAAAATTCAAGATATTTCAACACACACATGGGAGCTGTCCTCCAAAATCTATCACCAGTTTATATACATGTATGCATTTAAGTGATTTATGCCTAAAATTACAAGAAGGCTTGTAGATCGATTGATTAAATAAAAAATTGTTGGATTTGAAAAATAAATCAAGTTAATTGTTAGAAGTCATAATCAAGAAAAAATATGAAATGAAATACTGTTAATTTGATATTTCATTCTTGTTTAAAATCAGAGGGGAAGTGTGAATGTGTGTGTGAATGTGTTTTAAAAATCTTATTATGTAACTTGACATGTCAGTTTTGGCATTAAAGATGTTCGCTCCTGACACTTTTGGGTCCACTGCGCAACTCAAATGTCGTAATTCGTTCAAATCAGAGAAATATCGTTAAATATTTTGACACGAATTTTTCAAATAATCAAAATGTAAGAAACGTTTTATATACAAAATAAAACATCATTTTTTATATTCTGATATTTAAAAACACCTTTATTTTCGACTTCTTCCAAATGTGTTTCGCGCAACTTACGACATGCGCACTATTATCGTCTGTTTACACGGAAGTCGGAATGTCATAGTCAACAGACTATCACGCCGCTATGGGAAAAGTAAACAAGAAAAAAGCTGGTTCTGCAGCGCTAAGGAGAGAGAAAGAAGAGAAAGTTTCCTGGCGATTTCGAATCCGATCTGCTATCAGGAGGGATCATAACTATGCAAACGAAGGAGAGGGAAAGAAGAATCATGAGAATCCTCAGACTTTTTCCCCAGACATTGGTCACGTTAACGAAGATATCATTATTGTGGTGAAAGTTCCTCTGAACCGGATAACACCTGGTCTACTGGTAGCAGGATTGATGAACTTGGGGTATTGGCTGAAGCCCTGCAAGCGTGCGATAATAATTTTTACTTTAAAAGTATCTGTATTACATTAACTGTAGTCATTTGTTTACTTTCATGTACAATTGTATGTTAATTTATAATTTTTAATTATACTTATTATCCACAGACATTTATATAACATTTCAAATTATTCAACTCACCATCAAACAAATATTTTTCATCCAAATAATGCGCAAAAACATCCACCAAGGAGTCATACTCGAGAACAATTGATACATATTTCCGTTCTTGTGATAATTCTTTATTCGAAGGAAAATCTAAAAAAAATCTTAAGGAGGCTCATTACACCACTTTTTGATGACGTACTACACAAAAAATTAAACCTCCATTGTGTCGAACGAATTGCTCAGGGGCCAAGTTGTATAGACACCTGTATAATATGACCCTGACCTTTAAAACGCTTTAAAAATAGATGAAACATGCGGTGTTATAAACAGTGAAAACAAAGTAACGGATTCATTATGCATAAACCAAGAAGAATTGCATTTTCAGAAACAAAAGAAAGCAACAGTCAAATCTTCGCCAAACAAGTAATGTCAATTTCATAGCCATGCATGCAGTGAACTCTATCAATCACTGACATGTATGTATGGAGGAAATTCAGGTTAAAATCTACAACCTTGATGAAATTAAAATTTTATTTTATTGCGCTATTTACTGTTTTGGTGTTAATTAATATATTTGAATTATTGATTTAAATGTATACTTTGGCAATTTATAGCTTTATTCTGAATTTTAGATGTAATGTCAAACGTTCTATAGTGTTTTGAGTCTTGGCTTATTAGGAAAGATAACTCTTGAAAATGGACTTTTTATACCAAGTATTTTCTAAATTGAACTTTTCATTTCCTTTAAACTTTTTTCATTCAATTTGACACATGTATTTCATTATTCCATCTGAGGCCGGGGTTGAATAAATAAACACATTGACATGGATGTGCTTTGGAATCCTATGTAACCCCAGAACAGTTCTATCTGATCACCTTTTCCAAACCACATTTTGCAAAGTGCCGACCTTTCACTCTCTCTCCTCTGTTGATTCGATGACCTTCGTCTGTGGTGATAAAACCATACCCCTCATTCTTAATTTGGAGCATTTGTATTCCGGCATGAGTATAATTTTCAATAAATTAAAAATCAAATGAAAAGTTCACACTGGTTTCTAGTTTTGGTTAAAGATAAACAAATTACTTTTAAGGAGTTCTCTTTGAACCACCTGTGGATTTTGCAGCATTGAATACTGTAAACTGGATCCCATCAAATTTTCCCAAGCATATAGAGAACATGTACACGGATCAGGAGAGAAAAAAACTTTTCCTGAAATGTGATTTGATAGAGGCCAGTGAGAATAGCGCACAGGGTATGATAGAAATTCTTCAAAAAGTTGCTGTTCCGCATGCTAAGGATAATCCAGACAAGTATGGTTTTGAAAAGGAGGTTTATTGTTGGGCATGTCTTTACGAATGAAAGGGCATTCAGTGCCCAAGCAGCAATGCAGAACAGCCCCTTTAACTTCGAGGCCCTATTTGGTGTTATTCACAGACCAGAAGGTCTACAAAGAGAAATAAACTTCCATCTTGTGTAGTGTATCAACACTTGGGAGTTGACGGTTTTGGGATATATTGATAATAACAGTTGTTGTTTCAAACAAGGGCACTGCTAAGCGGAGCATCCCCTCGCGGATTGACATATTATGAACATAAATGGATTACTAGATGCAGAAATGATAAATAAGATCTCTCTCTCTTTACACATATTTTTTGCGCATACACAGATTCACACCTTCAAGTTATAGCAATTATTTAACCCTCTTCCCTGCAGACACTGTTCAAATCTTTTCCCTCTTCTACAAGTTTACTTGGAAAAAAATTGTATGTAATCATATATGACATGATAGAATATGATTTGTCCCTATAATAAGAATAACAATGCCATTGACAAAAAAGTAAACAATATCTGCTATTTATCCCCCTTATTGTTGCGTGTACATGGCGTTTTATATAGCGTAATAAGGTAAAATCCTTTTTAGAAGCATTACTAAGTTTTCGCATCGGGATCGGGATCTCACTAATTCTGATTCATTCAACATCCGG